ACTTGATGTTGCAACGATGTTAGAAGATAATTTCTCGAATTGTGATTTTTTTTTTCAAAAATTCTAAGGTGAGAATGTGTGTCATATTTTTTCTCAAATAGTCTATCTTCCAGCTAGAAAATATCAAAATTTCATGGAGATTGAGCTACAAATAACAATGATGTGATTTTTTGAATCAGATGACTACTTGATGTTGCAACGATGTTAGAAGATAATGTCTTGAATTGTGATTTTTTCATTTCAAAAACTCTAAGGTGAGAATGTGTGTCATATTTTTTCTCAAATGGTCTATCTTCCAGCTAGAACATACTGAAATTTCATGGAGATTGAACTACAAATAACAGTGATGTGATTTTTTGAATCAGATGACTACTTGATGTTGCAACGATGTTAGAAGATGATGCCTTGAATTGTGATTTTTTTATTTCAAAAACTCTAAGGTGAGAATGTGTGTCATATTTTTTCTCAAATAGTCTATCTTCCAGCTAAAAAATACTAAAATTTCATTGAGATTGAGCTACAAATAACAGTGATGGGATTTTTTGAATCAGATGACTACTTGATGTTGCAACGATGTTAGAAGATAATTTCTCGAATTGTGATTTTTTTTTTCAAAAATTCTAAGGTGAGAATGTGTGTCATATTTTTTCTCAAATAGTCTATCTTCCAGCTAGAAAATATCAAAATTTCATGGAGATTGAGCTACAAATAACAATGATGTGATTTTTTGAATCAGATGACTACTTGATGTTGCAACGATGTTAGAAGATAATGTCTTGAATTGTGATTTTTTCATTTCAAAAACTCTAAGGTGAGAATGTGTGTCATATTTTTTCTCAAATGGTCTATCTTCCAGCTAGAACATACTGAAATTTCATGGAGATTGAACTACAAATAACAGTGATGTGATTTTTTGAATCAGATGACTACTTGATGTTGCAACGATGTTAGAAGATGATGCCTTGAATTGTGATTTTTTTATTTCAAAAACTCTAAGGTGAGAATGTGTGTCATATTTTTTCTCAAATAGTCTATCTTCCAGCTAAAAAATACTAAAATTTCATTGAGATTGAGCTACAAATAACAGTGATGGGATTTTTTGAATCAGATGACTACTTGATGTTGCAACGATGTTAGAAGATAATTTCTCGAATTGTGATTTTTTTTTTCAAAAATTCTAAGGTGAGAATGTGTGTCATATTTTTTCTCAAATAGTCTATCTTCCAGCTAGAAAATATCAAAATTTCATGGAGATTGAGCTACAAATAACCATGATGTGATTTTTTGAATCAGATGACTACTTGATGTTGCAACGATGTTAGAAGATAATGTCTTGAATTGTGATTTTTTCATTTCAAAAACTCTAAGGTGAGAATGTGTGTCATATTTTTTCTCAAATAGTCTATCTTCCAGCTAGAACATACTGAAATTTCATGGAGATTGAACTACAAATAACAGTGATGTGATTTTTTGAATCAGATGACTACTTAATGTTGTAACGATGCCCTAAATTATGATTTATTTTTTTTTCAAAAACTCTAAGGTGAAAATGTGTGTCATATTTTTTCTCAAATAGTCTATTTTCCAGCTAGAATATACTGAAATTTCATGGTGATTGAGCTACAAATAACAGTGATGTGATTTTTTGAATCAGAAGAATACTTGATGTTGCAACGATGTTAGAAGATAATGTCTTGAATTGTGATTTTTTTATTTCAAAAACTCTAAGGTGAGAATGTGTGTCATATTTTTTCTCAAATAGTCTATCTTTCAGCTAGAACATACTAAAATTTCATGGAGATTGAGCTATAAATAACAGTGATGTGATTTTTTGAATCAGATGACTACTTGATGTTGCAAAGATGCCCTAAATTATGATTATTTCATTTCAGAAACTCTAAGATGAAAATGGGTGTCATATTTTTTCTCAAATAGTCTATCGTCCAGCTAGAACATACTAAAATTTCATGGAGATTGAGCTGCAAATAACAGTGATGTGATTATTGAATCAGATGACTACTTGATGTTGCAACGATGTTAGAAGATAATGTCTTGAATTGTGATTTTTTTATTTCAAAAATTCTAAGGTGAGAATGTGTGTCATATTTTTTCTCAAATAGTCTATCTTTCAGCTAGAACATACTAAAATTTCATGGAGATTGAGCTACAAATAACAGTGATGTGATTTTTTGAATCAGATGACTACTTAATGTTGTAACGATGCCCTAAATTATGATTTATTTTTTTTCAAAAACTCTAAGGTGAAAATGTGTGTCATATTTTTTCTCAAATAGTCTATCTTCCAGCTAGAACATACTGAAATTTCATAGAGATTGAGCTACAAATAACAGTGATGTGATTTTTTGAATCAGATGACTACTTGATGTTGCAACGATGTTAGAAGATTATGTCTTGAATTGTGATTTTTTTATTTCAAAATCTCTAAGGTGAGAATGCGTGTCATATTTTTTCTCAAGTAATCTATCATCCAGCTAGAATGTACTGAAATTTCATGGAGATTGAGCTACAAATAATGGTGATGTGATTTTTTGAATCAGATGACAACTTAATGTTGTAACGATGCCCTAAATTATGATTTTTTTATTTTGAAAACAATGAAGCAAAGATGTGTCTCATATTTTTTTCTTAAATAGTCTATCTTTTAGATAGAACATACTAGAATTTCATGCAGATTGAGCCACAAATAACGGAGATGTGATTTTTTCAATCAGATGACTATTTGATTTTGAAACGATGTTAGAAGATAATGCCTTGAATTGTGATTTTTTCATTTCAAAAACTCTAAGGTGAGAATGTGTGTCATATTTTTTCTCAAATAGTCTATCTTCCAGCTAGAACATACTGAAATTTCATGGAGATTGAACTACAAATAACAGTGATGTGATTTTTTGAATCAGATGACTACTTGATGTTGCAACGATGTTAGAAGATAATGTCTTGAATTGCTTTTTTTTTCAAAAGCTCTAAGGTGAGAATGTGTGTCATATTTTTTCTCAAATAGTCTATCTTCCAGCTAAAAAATACTAAAATTTCATTGAGATTGAGCTACAAATAACAGTGATGGGATTTTTTGAATCAGATTACTACTTGATGTTGCAACGATGTTAGAAGATAATGTCTCGAATTGTGATTTTTTTTTTCCAAAAATTCTAAGGTGAGAATGTGTGTCATATTTTTTCTCAAATAGTCTATCTTCCAGCTAGAACATACTAAAATTTCATGGAGATTGAGCTACAAATAACAGTAATGTGACTTTTTGAATCAGATGACTACTTGATGTTGCAACAATGTTATAAGATAATGTCTTGAATTGTGATTTTTTATGTCAAAAATTCCAAAGTGAGAATGTGTGTCATATTTTTTTTTCAAATAGTCTATCTTCCAGCTATAACATACTAAAATTTCATGGAGATTGGGCCACAAATAACAGTGATGTGATTTTTTGAATCAGATGACTACTTAATGTTGTAACAATGCCCTAAATTAGGATTTTTTTATTTTGAAAACAATGAAGTTGAGATGTGTCGCATATATTTTTCTCAAATAGTCTATCTCTCAGATAGATCATACTAGAATTTCATGCAGATTGAGCAGCAGATAACAGAGATGTGATTTTTTGAATCAGATTACTACTTGATGTTGCAACGATGTTAGAAGATATTGTCTTGAATTATGATTTTTTTATTACAAAAACTCTAAGGTGAGAATTTGTGTCATATTTTTTCTCAAATAGTCTATCTTCCAGCTAGAACATACTAAAATTTCATGGAGATTGAGCTACAAATAACAGAGACGTGATTTTTTGAATCAGATGACTACTTGATGTTGGAACGATGTTAGAAGATAATGTCTTGAATTGTGATTTCTTTATTTCAAAAACTCTAAGGTGAGAATGTGTGTCATATTTTTTCTCAAATAGTCTATCTTCCAGCTAGAAAATATCAAAATTTCATGGAGATTGAGCTACAAATAACAATGATGTGATTTTTTGAATCAGATGACTACTTGATGTTGCAACGATGTTAGAAGATGTTGTCTCGAATTTTGATTTTTTTTTCTCAAAAATTCCAAGGTGAGAATGTGTGTCATATTTTTTCTCAAATAGTCTATCTTTCAGCTAGAACATATTGAAATTTCAAGCAGATTGAGCAACAAATAACAGAGATGTGATTTTTTGAATCAGATGACTACTTGATGTTGCAACGATGTTAGAAGATAATGTCGCGAATTGTGATTTTTTTATTTCAAAAACTCTAAGGTGAGAATGTGTGTCATATTTTTTCTCAAATAATCTATCTTCCAGCTAGAAGATACTAAAATTTCATGGAGATTGAGCTACAAATACCAGTGATGTGATTTTTTGAATCAGATGACTACTTGATGTTGCAACGATGTTAGAAGATAATGTCTTGAATTGTGATTTTTTTATTTCAAAAATTCTAAGGTGAGAATGTGTGCCATATTGTTTCTCAAATAGTCTATTTTCCAGCTAGAACATACTAAAGTTTCATGGAGATTTAGCCACAAATAACAGTGATGTGATTTTTTGAATCAGATGACTACTTGATGTTGCAACGATGTTAGAAGATAATGTCTTGAATTGTGATTTTTTTATTTCAAAAATTCTAAGGTGAAAATGTGTGTCATATTTTTTCTCAAATAGTCTAACTTCCAGTTAAAACATACTAAAATTTCATGTAGATTGAGCTACAAATAACAGTGATGTGACTTTTTGAATCAGATGACTACTTAATGTTGTAACGATGCCCTAAATTCCTAATCTACAATATTCAAAACTTTATGATTGTTTCACATATTTTACACAATTTATAGGTACGATACACATTTATTCAGAAAAAAAAAACGTACCTACAAATTGTATCATAAGGTAAAGTAGTTACGTAATCTTACGATACATAACACTGGTGGATATAGGTATTTACAAACACTACTTAAAATCTATTGAAAAGTTCACTTACCGATATAATAGCCAATGGAATAAGATACAACAAAGCAAAATGAATAATATCGAACATTTTCGAATTAAACTTTTGCCTGTTCAGAACGCAAACGGTCTCGCTGCTATTTTCTGTTGTAACCGTTACAGTATTGCCCCAATAGAATTTCGGTGAACTGTAGAGGATGCATGTTATCCAAACTGCCAAGATTATACCCTGAAAAAGAAAAGAAGTATATTGCAAAATTATCGAACCATTCATGTAACTTTTTTCCTATTTTATCACGTTGAATCAACATCAAATTGAATGGTAATAACAGCACAATATTTGGTTGTTTGAATGTGATAGGTAATTGAATGGATTTAAACATTTTTGAACCAGTGATGGGTTTTCAATAGAAATAATAGTCCATTATGTAAAATTTTATGGAATTAGGGCTCTTCATAACGCATCAGGCCCATGAATTCATATACATTGTTAATTAACTTGATGAAAAGATTAATATTGCCATCATTTCCAATTTGATTTAACGTCCTTTACACCTAATATTTGAAGGTATAATTTATTTCACGTCAGTCATCATCTTACTAATTATAGGTTACACTCGCCAATTGAATGAACTTTGCGTGTCTTGAACTTCAGACGTAAATATGACGCACTTCATTAATTAAATGATAGAAAAAGAGGTAATAGATTAATACATAGTGTACTTAAATGATGAAGTTTAATTAAAGGTTTTTATAGAACTCGTCCTATCCAATAAACTTATATACGCCTATACATTTTTATTTCTCATCAAACAAACCCGCCAAGTTATTGCCCAAAAATAAAACTTCTTGACAGTGCTTAGACAATTTTTTTTCTTGTTTTTAGAGTGAGAATTTATGTCTAAAGGACATTGTGACGCCAGCAATAACTAATAATATCACTCTAGAGGTGTGAACGTTTTATAGGCCAAACAAGTTGGACAAATAAAAATAAACGAATATTATTACACAATTTTTTTGGATATGATGCACAATTGTTATTAATGTTAGCAAATATCACTCGCCGGCGTAAAAATCCGCCACCCTGAAATTTCGGCCAAGTTTGATGTTTTATAACTTTTTTATTTATCATCCGATTTCCGTGATTTTGTTATCAGTTTGAAGATCCATTTATTGTGTTTTTCTCTAATTATTTCATAAAGTAATGTTTTTCGATTCCACTATATTATACAGGAGTAAAGCAAATTGTTGTTTTTGGTCGTAACTTCAAAACACCCTGTATGAAAATTGAGTGTATAATTTTATTTATATACTGTTCCTTGTTATCTTTGATGTATTCTAAACATTTCGTTTTTTGATTCCGTTTGTTTACAGACGAGAAATTTTACTAGGCGGCAAGGCTCTGCCAGAAGGAGAATGACCACTGCAGCTGGGGATCGCTTTGTCACTGTTAGTTTTTCAAGAGATCGAAGATCTACTGCTGTGTGTCTTAGAAAGAACTTGCAAATGATTCGTCGAGTTGTATGAGACTGACAGAAGCTGGGCTTCATTCACGAAGGGCATCAATATGTCCACAACTACTTCCTCGGCATCGACAACACCAACTGAGGTTTGCACGATTGCATTCTGACTGGGCTCTAGAACAGTAGGGAAACGTACTATTCACAGATGAATTTAGGGTTTGTCGCCGTATGGTCGTGAGGGTATACAGACGTAGAAATCAAAGATATGCTGACTGCACCATATAGGAACGAATCTCATATCATGATTTGAGCGGGTATTTCCACCGAAGCACGCACCGATCTTATATTTGGTGTGAAAATGGAGCTCTCTAGGACTTTCGACTGGCGCTGAAGAATACATGAGGCAATTTTTCAAGAAAAAATGAGTAACCGTAATCATTCGATGCCACGAAGACTGCAAGCTCTCGTTCCTGCGAGAGGAGAAAATACACGTTATTAAAATTGTTTTTGTTAAGGCTGCGGTAATGACATTTGAAATCTTGTTAATTTGTGGTTCTGTGCTATGATTGGTTGATTTTCTAAAATCCGTTTCGGAAGAGAAGAAAAAACCTCACATCATAATTGGCTGAAATTTGGCATAAACATTATGAAACAAAACTATAGACTATGAACAACAAACAATACTTATATTTCTAATTCCAACAAAGATAACATTTAATAATAAATATAATAGAAAAGGACGATATGCGAGCAAATATGCGAGTCTCCTTCGCAAATCACCCTCGCGCTATTATCTCTCGACTGCCTCAGCTGCTTGCCTCCAATTCCTTTGTTCGTACCCGCTGGCTGAGTAAATACTTTTTTTGTGCTGTTGACTAACTATTTATTCTTTTTTTCGGGGTCATTACAGTCGGCCAATCTATCATTTTTCCGACCCGGAAAATTTGCGTCCAACTGAAATTGAACAAACAACACTAGTATTAGCAAATGATATATAGGTATTTTCTTATATAAAAATCAGAAGGTTGCTGTTGGCCAGACATCCCATTAACCTTTCTATTTTTTATGTTAAGAGGCCTGGGTACCTCTGTGCGACGGGTTAAACTATTTTTTGATTTACATCCAAAGTATTGAATCAAAATCAATGAAATTTGGTGGGATGATAGATGATGAATCACAGAAGAATGAAAAGTAATTTTTTATAGAAAAAAGTAATTCTGAAAATTATCTCGCCTCTCAAAAAAAAAAAGATTGGAATATAAAATACTTCTCACATTTCTATGTTAAAATACTAACATTTTTTACCAATATAATTTTTTTGTTAAACACGTACATTCTTGTTAAACATAAAAAAACAGAAAATGTATTATTTCGGATCAATTTCTGCAATCGCAACTACATATTCTATGGCATGGCAACACTGAGAACTGCCCCGCCAACCCCCGGCCGGCGCTTCGACAACATCCCGGGAATAAAATAATATTTATTCTTATCTCAATAATTGTTTTGACCATTCCGTGCCGTCGAAGAGTTTTTGCATTGCCTTTTGTGTTTTGAAAATAAACTGGGTAAAACCTTTGGTACAACTTCAGAAATTTTTGATAGGAAAAGATTACGTTTATCTACTGAACGTAAAAATTGACGACTTCCTATAAAAAAAATCTAGGTGAAATGGTAATATTAAGTACATTATTTAATATAATTAATAGGTGTGGTAACTAGGTAATTACCGCACGCGAGAGAAATTTGCAATCTCTAAGGGCGGTAATAGCCTAATTACCATACCTATTATACAGTATTTTATCTACAATCATGCGGTAACAAAATATCTAAAAGAAGCTTAAAGAATGATGAAAAAAATGAGCCTTTCACTTTTGACAGTGAACAAGTAGAATTTAGGTGATAGGTATAGGTAATATATCTTTGGTAGGCGATTGAAGGTATTACGTACCTATGTGGTTAGAGCGTGCGGTAATAATATTATCGCATGCCGTGCGGTAGAGTGCACTTCACCGCACTCATTTGCGTGTCGTAGGGAGCCTACTCAGTGCTGAAAAGTAACTTTACCTACAAGCGTGCGGTAAAGTGCACTTAACCGCACTTATTTGGAAATGGAAAGTAGCACTCTACCGCACACTATGCCGTAAAGTTACTTTACCTACGAGCGTGCGGTAAAGTGCACTTTGCGGTAAACTGGACTGCAAGTGTGCGGTAAAGTTAACTTTACCGCATAGTATGCGGTAAAGTAGATTTTGGTATTTATGATTAAAATTCCTTTTTTTTCAGAAAATGGATTTTTGATCATTTCTAAATCTAATCTAATTTCATTAATTAATCTGATTCATTAATTATTTTTATTAATGCCTTTTTTTGGAGATGTTCATAGGTAAAATTTTGTACCTAACACATGCGGAAAGTGCCTTTACTGCCCTTAAGGGCTTGACCGAACTCCGCTTCGCGTCGTTCCGTCAACTGCCGTTGCGTGCGGTAAAGTATCACTTTCTGCATTTGTTAGGTAAATAACTATTACCGCATAGTGTGCAGTAAAGTAGACTTTGGTATTTATAATCAAAAATCCCTTGTTTTCCAGAAAAGAGATTTTTTGTCATTTTTAAATCTAATTCAATTTCATTAATTAATCTAATTCATTAAATAATTTAATTGATGCCTTTTTTTTTGGGGGGTGTAGATGCTCATAGGTAAAATTTTGTACCTAATACATGCGGAAAGTGCCTCTACCGCCCTCAACGGCTTGACCGAACTTCGCTTCGCGACATTCAATCAGTGCTACTTTCTATTTACAAATAAGTGCGGTAAAGGTGTTTACCGCACGTTCGTAGGTAATAGTTATTTATATCACAAGTGCGGTATGAACTTAATTTATTACAATAAAGAGTGGTAATCACACGAGTGGTGTAATGAGCGTTACCGTACGTGTGATATACAGCATTTTATGTATGACGCAGATTTTTTTGTATGTATTCCAAATTGGTTTTATTTTCCACAAAAGATTAAATTTATAACTTTTCCGAATAAATTAATTTTAAAAAATGCCGTTTTTCAATGAAAATGAGTTACATAATGAGCGCATTACATCACAAGTGATTTATATTACATCACTAATGATGTAATGAGTTGATTACATCACTAAGTACGATAATACAACTTATTACGTAACTCAAACACTCAAACAGGCTTAAATGAGTTACGTGATAAGCTCTTACAGTGTGGGTCGTACATAAAAATTCTTTACCGCAGTGCTGTAATAGTATATTACAAAACAAGTGTGGTATTTAGGTTATTACCGCACACGGGAGAAATTTGCCAACCGAGCCGGTGAGGCGAGCTTTGCAATCTCTAAGGGCGGACATAATCTAATTAGTAATTACCATACGAATTATATACAGTATTTTATCTACAACCGTGCGGTAGCAAAATATTTGATAGAAGTTTGGAAAATTATAGAAAATAAAATTGCTTCTGGCACATTAATTTGACAGTGGACGGGTAGAATTTAGGTGATAGATAGGTAATTGAAGGCATGCGGTAATAATATTACCACACTCTATTACAGCACGTCATGCGGTAATAAAATTACCACACGTCGAGCGGTTATATGGTACATACCGCACGCAAAATCGTGTGATATACCTTAGTTACCGCACGCTCGTAGATGAAACTTCTTTACCGCACTCTTTTAAAAATACGTTTGATAATGTTCATATTCTTTATTAATGTACACTAAGTGCGGTAAAAATTCGTAGAA